ATATTCTTAATGCAGTACAGAATGAGTATTAAAATAATCTGCCTCTGGATTTGACACGGGGCTGTCCTAAAGAATTGGGCATCCTTCCTCTTCAAATTGTGTTTCTCTTGATCTATAATGTTACAAGCACAATTAATCACTATGTAGTTGCTTTATAAAGGTAGCTTTAATTATTCTGAGCTTCCTGCAACTAGCAGGTTTTGGCAGAATCAGCACCTGCTGAGTGAGTCCTGTTTCATTATGAGCCACATCTACAGGTATCAAAGTGTTTCTGGGTCCAAGAACGGTGTGAGCAACTTAGTTGGGAGGAAAATGAGACTGAAGTCTGTTTCCATTTTGTTTCTTTGTCCAAAACTCTGGATGTCTGAAACTTTAAAGTGGCTTAAGTTTTTTTTTGTTTGTTTTTTGTTTTTTGTTTTTTTTTGAGTTTTGAGCACACACTTTTACATTTGAAGTCTGAGAGTCACAGGTATGTCATGCTTGTAGAATCAAGGGGCTTACTCATGCCTAACTATTTCATTGAATCTGTCAGTAGCTGTTTGAACAAGTGGAAAATGGCTTTGAAAATAAGTGTAAATCAACAGAGAAGTTGGATGCTGTTCAGAAGGCGCAGACTGGCCTGCCTGTTGTTGTTCAGTTAGTCAAAATAGTATTTTTAAATCTCAATTAGAGAAGCCGCATCATCTCAGTGGTCTTTTATTCGGTCTGAAAAAAAAGCCTTTGCTTTTGCAGTATCTGTGGGACAGTAATGTTTTTGTGATTGCAGCTGTTTAGGTACCACCTCAGTGGTCTGAAAACATCCTGTGCCAGCACATCAACTTTGAGTTTGTTTCATCTATTGAATTCTGTGTTGCGGCTATCCTCTGTGAATCCTCAGAAGGCTTTATTTGAGGCTCCTGATTCTGTTTCTCTTTGGATGGTGTTACCTGAACATCACTGCCTTGTTTGCTGCTTGCTAGGAGTGAATTCAGTGGTAGTGGTACCTGTTCTCAGGAGCAGATTTTTGGCTGTGGAAAATGCTTTCTCATGTTCCTGGTCTGTTGGAGCCTGTTTGGCTGCCTTCGAGACCATTTTCAAAATATGCTTTAACTTGGTGCTGTTATGGCTGTACTTGTGGTGCTCTGTCTTGGCAGAGTATGATAATTCTTGTCCGTTAAGAGTCATTCTGTATTTTATATCTCAACTTGTTACGGTTCTCCAATGGTATAACAACAAGAACTAATGAACACCATAAATCCCTTGTTGGTTTTGCAAGGCTGTAACGAGGGAGTCTCCTCTTCTGTTGAAATGACTGGAGCACTGGAAATAACGCTGTGTTTTTCATTCTGGACTTAAGAGTTATAAAGCCTTTAATGCAGGTGTGTGCTCTTGCTGTGTGCTCATGTGAAGCCCAGCACAACAGGTTCTTGCAATCTCTTGAGACTCTGGGCACTACCCGAATGTATCTAACAATGTTTGTGAGTTCTGAATGTAAATGTGTTTGTGTTCCTTTTCAGCTGCAGGACAACCCGACTCAAGCAAGACCCAGTTTTGAAGCCGGTGGTAGTACCTGGACTCTCTGCTTAAACTGCTTTCTTCCATTGAATTCAAACACACAAACAAGGTATCTTCTTAATAGAAAAAGGCATCTGTACTGTGTTCTCTTAAGTGCTTCCTGTACATGTGTATTCTTGTTTTCTAAGTATACCTTTCCTTCCTTTGGGAAGCAGATTAGAATGAGAAGGGAGTTATGTCTGGATGTTGGATTTTGGCATGTTTGTATATGGAGTGTGAGGAAGCAAGATGAAGGGTGATTTAAGATCTGGATGAAGTGAAACTTGTGGTAATTGTTCCTTTTTTTCTTTCCTTGGCATTGTTTGCAAGTCTTCTTTATGATAAGTGCTTTTATTCATCCTTTTGAAGATAGTTACAGAGGCCACAATAGCAAAAGGGGAAGGCTATAACTATACCTTCCCACACAGGCTCTGAATAATGCATATGTTAAATATTGCCTCAACACTGAATTACGATGATAATAAAATACAGTACTTCAACAAGACTGCAGCTAAGACAGAAATTTGCTCTCTTTTTGCTTGCTGTATGGATTTTGCTGGGTTACATTACCTGTCAGCAATAATCCTAACCTGACTAGAAGAGAAGGCGAGATCGGAATTTGAACTGTTGCCTGTTTCTTCAGCTTTTGTGAGACTGCTAGTCAGACAGTAGTTTCTCAGACAACAGTCTGACTCTGTTATGGTCAAGAGGGATGGAAGAAGTGCCCTTTGTCAAAGGTTTGGCTAGTCTGCTCTGAACACCAACTAGTGTTATACTCCCACCTCCCTGCACTCAGCCAGAATAGATCACAAAGTGGGTGGACAAGTTGGTTTGGTGGAAGCAGGGGTTTGACGCTTCGGGCCATATTGTAAAATGACCTTAAAATGACAACAGTTAAACCTTCATCTTGGACCTGACATGTCCATGGGCCGTTTCCCTCTGGAGCAGTTCATCCAGTCTCTGAGCTTTCTGTCTGGCAGGCTGAGCTTCCTCAGAACCCACAGTGTCCTTGTCACCAGAGGTAGTCCTGCAGTATGCAAAACACCTCAGCGTTGCTTGGATGGTTGAGGCACACTGTCTTTCAGTGTCATCAGAAACTCTTTGGTATACGGTCATGGAAACACAAGCATTTCTTTGAAAGATTGAAAAAGCTCTCAAACATTTGGCTGGGCTAAAGGCATTTTCTTGTCATACCAGCTGTTACTTAAGTACCAGTTCATTGTAACAAAGTGAATAATGAGAATGAAGCTGTGATACCTTTAAAGGAAAAGCTGTGTTGACAGAAGTGAACTACACAATGATGTGAAATAGCAGACCAGAAGGGTAATAAGAATCTAATATAGTAAACATTTCATGCCTGTCTGATAGCAAATTTGGTCAAGACTATAGGTTGAAAACATCAGCTTTTCAGTAATTTGGTTTCTGTATGCATGATTAGTGAACTTCCTGGTTTCAAGGAAGCAGTTCTCTGTAATTTAGGAATTGAGTCAGACTAAAGGGAATTGAAATAATGTAGTGAGTTATTAAACACCAGACTGTAAATATCATAGCCAACTGGTAGAGTGCAGGAGAGGGCTGTGAAGAAACATGTCAGCTCTGCTAAGATGCAGGATTCATCTCCAGTCTTTTTGCATAATTTTTAGTCTCTTGTTACAAGCTCTGAAACCATGTAGTATTTGAAATGGAATAAAACCTGTCTAGGTATGACTTGTTGACTTGCAGAAGGTCAGGTCATTAAAATGACTTGTTTGACACCTTCTGGAAATCAAGCACCTCCTTCAAGCAGACTAGCTCTATCTGAGCAACTTCATGTGTGTCATTTTGGTCCCAGTTCTGAATAACTTCTGAAGCAGGCTGAATTGAAATCGGAGAGAGCTGGGACTTGCTGTCAAAGGCTAGCCTTCTCTTTATGTTAAAATGCAGTTTGAGTTAAAAAGAAGCTGTTGCTTCAGAAGTTGGTAAAATCTATGCTTATATATTTCTTGTTGTATTTAGGAACTTGCATATGTCATCTATTGTGATGATTTCTTAACACATTCTGCATAAGACTTGAAAATGAAGCTTTTCTATTGTCTTGAGGCTTTGAGTGATACATTTTTAAGTGTTTCAGTAAGTTGTTGAAGAGAAAGGGCTTTCAAAATAGCACTTGTCTTAAATTTTCAGACAACATGTGAGTTCTAAATGACACTCATAATAGCTGTTACTGACAGATATTGACAAGAAAAATACAATGAAGCAGAGAAAAAGTGTTTCATGTATTGGTAGATTGTTGTGTAATATTTTCTGCCTTGGAGCTTCTCCTGTGTTTTCAGAGGACTTTAGAAACAGTGAAAGCAGAAAAACTGCTGTTCACAAAGGCTCTCTGTTAAAGGAGAATTGCCAGAAAACTTTGTCGTTGTTGTTTTTAGGGCTTCCTCTTCTTTTTTTACCAATGTTCTCATAATTACTCTATTTCTAAGGATTTAGTTTTTTCTGTAGTACAAGATCTTTAATTGTGAATTTACTTAGAAATCCTCCTGCCTGTAAAATGTCTTAGCAGTGCTTTGCTACTGCCCTAAAGACTTTGAGCTGTGATTTTTAACTGTTAGGGCCAACTTGTCAGGATGTGACTGATGTAATGGAGAAGTGCTCATGTGAGTATAGTGTGGAATCATTTAACCTTTTTGCAGATAGGTTAGCAGCCTCTGGCAGAGAAAGTGTATGGCAATGTTTTTATTTAGGCCCACCATAAGAATATGTGGGTGTGTTTTCTTTTTCTGCCATATTGTCTTGCACCAGTTAATGGTTATCTCTGACTAAGCTCTTGTAATATCTGCAGCTAGTAATGCAGGAAAAAATATCTAAATGGCATGAACGCTGCTTGTTTTGGAGCATAAGTTATCCACTGATCTGTGGTTTAGAAAGACACATCATGGTTCTGTGAGAAACAATTTTTTTGTGGCCTTTTGGCAGCATAAACTGACCTAGATTGCTCCTTTGGCCTGTTAACTCCTGTGGCTGTTTTTTTTACTGGGTTGTTTGAAACTTCACCACACCTTCCTCCTGTTTTGGAAGCTTATTTTCTTAAGTCGTCTTGAAAAAATCTACTTGTAAAACAGTAGAATAGCTCAAACAATAGTGCCCTTGTGAGGGCTGTAAATCCTGTCTTGCACCAGGGCATGCATTATATTGTGGGTAGCTTATGGTGGTTGACAAGGTTATTCCCATGCTTTGCCTTACTGTGCTGCGAGAGGAAGATTCAGTTGCATAGTTATTTTCTTCTGGTTTTACATTTGTTTGTCAAACCTCCCCAGAGCTGTTAATTAGCACCCAAATTGTCTTTTTCGGTTTCCTCTGATGTTTGAGGAAGAGATGGCAGCCTGTGATGAAGACAAGCAGAGAAACTTTTCAACAGCTTAGGAACATAAACACACAAGAGCATGTTCATTTTCTCCTAAAGTAATTGATTGTGTGTTAAATGCACCTTTATGTTCTGCCACACAGAGATGGTCAGCAGTCAGCCTCTCCCCATAGCAGAGAGTGGGAAAAGGAAAAAGAAAAAAAGAACCAGAGCCACGGATCATGTCCCTGGGAAGTTTGAAGGTTGGTGGCAACTTCTAAGCTTTTAATTGTAATGGTCTGTTTTCCCTCTGCTGTTCTCAGTTTTCTTAGCTAAACATTGCTTTTTGGCTAACGTTATAAGTCAACATTTCTTTTTTCCTTTATCCCCTGTGTTTCAGTCTTCAGTCTTTTTTTTTTTTCTCTTAGTGGTGAAACCTGAGTCCTATTCGTAATCTGGTTTGGTGCTTTGTTTCTTTTTTTTTTTTTTTTCTTTAGTAGGAACAGTGCTGATGTCAAAATGTTTTGATTGAATAGATGTGAGCACAAATATTGTGAAGCATTGTAGGTAAAATACAGTTCAGTGCGATAAAGCTGACGAGTATGAAACTTCTTAGTGGGCAAGCTGCATTGTAAGGTACATTGCAAATCAAGATGGTAGCAGCCTTCTAGGCTTAAGCATTCAAATTTCAATTATACTTAAAACACTATCTCTGCAAGTAGATTTTGTATGGTGGGCATTTTCTGATCAAGGAGTGAAATGTTTTCCACCTGAAAAAATTGGTTCTGAGTTTTACATGAAGACAGGGAAGGTGGATGAGGTCTTAGCACTTGCTGAGATATAAAACATTTCTTGTACGAACAAACTTGTAATTTTGATGCTGGAATGAAGTCTGCTTTAAATTTTCCTGGAACTTTAAGGGGGGGGAAGTGAAAAATGAGCCATAATTAAGGCTGGCACGTCTACTATAATACTGCATAAATCTATTTTCTGTCTTCATCACCAAGGGCGTTTTTTCAGTTGCTGTCATATGAGGGATGCTCATCAGATAAAATAGCTTGTTTTGATGTTATTCACTGAAATGCTTTGGCTAACGTGTCCTTTCTGCTGCATTTCTTTGGCAGATTTGTACAAGCTGACTGCTGAGCTTCTTGGTGAGGGAGCATATGCCAAAGTTCAGGGTGCCGTCAGCCTCCAAACTGGGAAAGAATATGCAGTAAAAGTAAGCATAGAATAAAAGCAGCATCACTTCTGTCTGTAACATGTCTTCTCCCTCCTAGTATCTCAGTGAAAACCTGTAATAGAGTGGGTAATAGCAAAAGCTTTTAGAAAATTTTTGATGCTTGAAATGAGCCTGCTTTATAACTGTTGAGAAATCTGTCTCTTTAAGTATTGAGCCTCCAGAGTGAACTGGTATATAGGCCACAGATAGAATTCACAAACAGTAAATGACTCTGTGATGGTTAGATCTCAGGCCAAGCTTTCCTCTCATGTCCTGATTTGATTGTAGTCCTACCAGTTTTTATCTCTTCTTATGAAAGAAGAGGCCGAGTCATTATCTAGCCTGGCCTACCAAATAATGCAAGCTTTTGAGAATGCTGCTCCGAGTTCAGAGAGCATCAGTTACTGCCATTAGTTCATGTAAAGCTGTCTCTTATTTTTTTGATAGAGGTGAATCTTCTGTAATACCATTATATTAAGTGTTATGGCCCATTTACAGATTTGTGGTTAGCCCGAGTCCCTCATTTAATTACAAACACAAAGAATAATAATAGGAAAACTTTATGCTTAATTCTTTTGCAAAAACCATAGGCACAAAATTTTAAGCCCATTTAAAAATCTAGTCCTATAGATGCTATAATTTTGTGTGTACTTTGTAGAATTGCTGAAGTTGAAAGTCTGGAATAAACAAACTGCTACATTATGAATTAGATGTGATTGGGTACCAAGTTCTGTCTAGTACTGGTGAATGGTTGCCCATTCTGTACTGGAGAACTCTGGCTGTAAAAATGAGAAACTGATACTGGATAGAGATAGTGGTAGTATTTGCGGTAATGTCATGAGCTTTCAGTTCACGTAGCAATCATTCTGTCTCAGCCTCTGTGGAAAGCCCTTGTCCTTGTCTTCTTTCAGTCTAAGAAGTGTGTGAAGGAAGGTGACTTCTGATGGCACAACAGGAGGGCTCTGAGATTGAACGTATGTTTTCTTTAATACGTTAGGCCCTACTATTGGGTCTCCATGAAGTTTGCACTGTGAACCAAACTCTCATTTTGTGGTGAATTTAGTACTTTTTACTTAAATGGCTATAATGACAAATGTCGTCTTTTTGACTGTTCAATGTCTGATACGACTCAACCCTATTTTTGTTAGAACTCGAAAGGATATCCTTTTTTGCATGTTGCAGAGTTAAAATGATGCAAGAAAAAGCTTGTGGTAACTGGTCAGTGACTGTGTAACATGTGGATTTAGTTCCTTTCTTCTCTTCCTGTCCTCATTTCTCTTGTCCTTCGAATGCCTTCCAGAGCTCTGCTGACACTGTAAATAAATGACAGATGAGAAATTAAACAAACAAGCAAAGGTGGAGTGTTTCTCTCTGGCGGGCATGCCTGAGATTCAAGCTTTAGATCAGTTGTCTAATTCCAGAGCCACATGCACAGTTCCTGCAGTAATTTTTCAAATATGAGCTCTAACTCTTTCCACAGATCATTGAAAAAAATGCTGGGCATAGTCGGAGTCGGGTTTTTCGTGAAATAGAAACGCTGTACCAGTGTCAAGGTAACAAGTAAGTATAGAGTCTTCTGTGTGTTTGTTTATTTAAAGTATCTTGAATATTTTTTCAAATTAAGTCTCCTACGTGTGACTAGGTTAGGAGCCTTGCAGTAGTCTCCTTAAAACCAGTTGAAGTTTAGACTTAACCTATTCAAAATAAGAATTTCCCCTTCTGTTACCTGTGAAATTTAGGGAAATATTTATAAATTAAAAGTCGCATAACTCAATTAGCAACCAGTTCAGCGTAGCCTGAATGTGCTTCAGTGATGCATGGCTTTTGTCCAAATGAGGAATTAACATTTTGACACTCTCCCCTGTTATTTCACTGTCAGCAAAAGCTGACCTGGTACTGGCTGCTGTTGAGAGGAACAGTCTCACCATTCCTTTCCTTAACGTGTGGTTTGTCCTCCTCTTTGTGTCAGCCTTCCTGCTTTTGCACTGGAACTCTTAGATCAGCCAAAAGCTAACTTACTTTTCATTTGGATGTGTGCTGACTTCACATAGCCACAGGATGAAGCAACTTTAAAGCTGCTGCTGCTGTCTGAAAAGGAGGGAAAGCCTATGCAGCCAGTGGCAGCTCTGTGATGACTTTAAGCTAATTCTGAAACTACTCCTTTAGATGTCTTTGTTAATCTAGAATGCATACAACAGCTGCTATCTATACTACAGTTGTGCAGCTTATATCGAGCCTTTTTTTTTTAACAAATGTTTAGTACAACACTTAAAGATAATTTAAAAACACCTTGTTTACCAAGCTCATGGGCTTAAGTCGTGCTATACAGAAGCAAATTATATCTTTGTTCTGTGTGTGGTTGAGAGCATATGGTCATCCAGTACATAACTGATGAAAAACTTAAGCTCTCATGACCACATGCAGAATTTGGATTTTGTGTGTGCTACAGAAAAATCTGACTTACACGTTTGACATTCTCAAGGCAATGTGGGGTGTTTGTGTTGTGCTGCAAAGACTGTACAGTAGCTAAACAGGAGGGAGTTAGTCTAAAAATGGTAACTAAGGCACTGGATTTAATGTCATGTTGACCCTGTGTGTTCTGCCTTGTAATTTCCAGAGAGAAAGAATGCCAATTTTTTTTTTTGTTCTTCCCTTCAGCACAAATGCAACGTTCTACATTATTAAATACAACCTATTAGCAGTTATCTTCCTGTCAGTTGAGCAGTAGCAGAACTCTTTCACAATCCTGTCTGATTTGGGTGTTTGGCCTGTTTTCCCCACTTAAATTTCAGTGTGAGTTGGAATTGTGGTTTTAATACTGTAGGCAACTAAAGCAACTTGTTTAATTAGCAGTTTTATTTTTGGTTACTTCTGGCACTTCCTAATTATCCATGCTGAAACTCTTCATTGCTCTGTTTATACTCTGTGCCTATTTCTTCTATTTCCCCTTTTTTTTTTACAGGAACATTTTGGAGTTAATAGAATTTTTTGAAGATGACACAAGATACTACCTGGTCTTTGAGAAGCTGCGAGGAGGTACTGTGCAGTAACTGTGCCTTTGTTCATTGCATCGTCTTGGTCTTGTTTGTTTCAGCATTTTAAAGTAGAAAATGAAGAGCTTATTTTAAATGCTTGAGAGTTTTAAGACAAAGAAGTAGTAGAGGAAATAATATACAAAACTTGAAGTATGGTTATTCTTGAATATTGATGGGTCTGGTCTTACATTTCCAATCCCTTTCTGTAGTTAAACAATGGAAATGTCAGCTCTATTAAAGTGGAAGCTTTGGAATATAGTTAGTAGGTCACAGTACCTGCAGGCAAAGGGAGACACACAGTATGTCAGGTATTATGCATGATCTTAGTACAGCATCTATATACTCTGGTAGCATTTTCCCTTGATGTAGGATTGACTTAATTTCCTGAAACTCACAGAGCACTGTTGCGAAAAATATCTTGCTTCTGCCTCGAGTTGCTGTAATTGTGAAGCAGTCCTCAGCACAGGGAGGACATGGACCTGTTGGAGCGGGTCCAGAGGAGGGCCACAAAAATGATCAGAGGGGTGGAGCACCTCTCCTGTGAGGAGAGGCTGAAAGAGCTGGGGGTGCTCAGCCTGGAGAAGAGAAGGCTGCGGGGTGACCTTATTGCAGCCTTTCAATACTTAAAGGGGGCCTACAAGAAAGATGGGGATAGACTTTTTAGCAAGGCCTGCTGTCACAGGACAAGGGGTAATGGTTTTAAACTAAAAGAGGGTAGATTTAGACTATATATAAGGAAAAAAAATTTCACTATGAGGGTGGTGAGACACTGGAACAGGTTGCCCAGAGAGGTGGTAGATGCACCATCCTTGGAAACATTCATGGTTAGGTTGGATGGGGCTCTGAGCAACCTGATCTAGTTGAAGATGTCCCTGCCAATTGCAGGGGGGTTGGACTAGATGACCTTTAAAGGTCCCTTCCACCCCAAAGCATTCTGTGATTTTGCTTGTGGCTGTTTGAGGGCCAATCAAGTGAGCATGTGTGGTCACTGGTCTCCAGCATTTAACACTCACCTGCGGAATGAGAAGGTTACATCAAGCACTTTGTGGACTTTCTCCCATTTATCTACATTGAGCATAATTACAGTATCCATTAATTGCATGGCTGTGCAAAATCATGAGTTAAAAGTGTGGCCCACCCTTCAAAGAAAAACTGAGTTTCTGAAGGAGTATACTTCTGTCCATAGAACATCATCTATTGTCACTGGTCAAGAAGGTTTTCAGTAGCAAACCATACATGTGAGAAAGGCAAATTCTTTCAGTATAGATGCAGAACCTCTTAGAAAGAGAAGAACATGGTTTTTTTCTTAAGTAAAAACTTTTATTTACCTTCCCTTAAAATTACTGCATCATTTCATTGTAGTTTCCTCTAACGCTGTTGTTCTTAATACACAGACTTCTCTCACCAGTTAGCTATAATAGGGCTTGATTGGGATGAATCTACTTTTGTCTCTTTTCCCATCTTCACATTCTTCCAGTAGTTAACCACCTTCTTTGACTGTGAGACTATAGTTGTCAGTGTACCCGCACGGCTGCAGAGAGGATAAAAACGCTAGACCTTCTTCCCTCTCTTAGCTACTGTTTTTACAGTGGTCAACTAGGGCTGAGGCTAGTTTTCTCTCTGAAAAATGTCAACATTTGAAGTGCTAGGTATGTGGGTTTGAATGATTATCAAAGAAATAATGGGAATTAGGGGTCAGACCAGCTTCTGATGCAGTACAGATTCTATTATAAGCAGCATGGCTGGCAAGAATAAGAACATTAATCTTCAATGCAGGCCTTACTTTAGTACCTTCAGTCTCAGAGACTGATGTTATCTACAGTGTTGGGGCATAACTTGGGCTTTCCTTTTTCAGCTTTGCCTTCCTGTAGCTGTGGTAACCGAAGGAGCTCTGCTCCCATTTTAGCTGTGTTCAGTTCACCATGATATGCAGAAGCTGTTTCATATCCTTGCCTGACAGCATTTTATAATTGAAAGCATTAAAATCCAGCTTATTATATTGAACTTGCGTGATTTAAGAATCCTTTCCTCATGTTTTTTTGTGGTTTTTTGTTTTTTTTTTTTTTCCCCTCTGAAATGCATTTTGGGAGGTGCTTTCTCTCTGATGAATACTGAAGAGGTGGTAACAACTGTGGCAGGAGTGCCCTGCTATTCTTTCTGTTTGTGGGATTGCTCTATGTGGGCTGAATATAAAGTCTGTAGAGTATGTTTTTCATTGATATTGATATAATTCTTATGTGAGAGAGTTTGGAACATCAGCTCTATTCAGAAGGGTAATCTGAAATAAACCTGCTGAGTGAAATGAGCACTTCAGGTGGCTTAGTAGTGTTTCCTGCAAAGTCTGGGGTCTTTTCCACAGGGATGGAAACATTGAAGAACTGTTATTACTTTCTAAAGGTGTAAAGAACAATTATACCAGGAAAACCCTTTGAACTCTGTGCCCTTAAGAAATCTGTAGCAAGCTGGAAAGTGGTGGTGTTGGCAAGGTAAACCTGTATTTGAAATCTGATAACCTGGTCCAAAGTGGCCTTCCTCCACCCATCTGACACGGCATATCTGTGCATATCTGAAGAGTCTTTTGTCATATCAAAGCATATCTGAAGAGTCTTTTGCCCTTCCTTCTTTTTAAGTGTTTTCCTGTTTCCTTTCTGCATCCTTACTGTGGAGGAGTGGCAGCAGCATTGATGGTATAAGAGGCGGAATTACCGCAGTAGAGAATGGGAGGTTTCCTTCCACATCAAGAACTGAAGAATAAAAATGAAATCACCTGAGATATAAAATGCTTACTGTATTGGGGGCTAATAACAAATGGCAGTTACTTCTTGAATTTCTCTGCCTGATTGCTTTTATAAATATATGTCTCTGAGTAAGAAAATGGAAGATGGAAGTGGGCTTGGGTCTCTGTGGACTACATTTAATTGGTTTTTTAAAGACGTTTTTAATCTTTTGAGAAGATTGATGGAATTCACTTAAAGAAGATAAGGAATCAAACCTCCCTTTATCCTTTGTTAAAGGGATACCAGTGGAGCTCTGCCTGCAAGCTACCAGTCCTTCACTATATTTGTATTTGAGAGGTCTTTTGTCAGATTTCATGTCCCTGGGCAAATTTTGCCTTAAGTCAGTGTGTGAGCCTTACCTTGATGTCAGTGGGAATTTTAATGTGTATTTAAACGTAGAATGTCTTTTTACTTTTATGGTCTTGAGACAAAAAAAGTGTATACTTGACTTTCAGTGCAGGGTTTCAATTGTCACATTACACAAAATGAGAAGAGTTAGTTTGAGCATGGCCACCTGTGACCTGGGAGAGGGTGGGTTTTGTTGAAGTGCTATGTACATCCTCAGCTGATGTTTGAGTTCTGCTAGTACTATTAGCAAGTCTCTACTGTTCACAGTGTGTGGAAAACAGACCAGTCATTTGCTGGGGCACTAAAAAGTGATTGCATCTCATGCTGTGCTTAAACTAGAGGGCTGCAGTGTTTGAAAATTATGTTCTAGCATGCTTAAGTGTTGAAGCTGCTCAGCTGTACCTTTTTATTCGTAGTCATTCCCCTATTCAGTCCATGAAAGTTGCCTGCTGTGAAAGGCTGTTATAAAATATGAGAAATGAGGTTATGGATCCATGATACTCGGTACTAGTTCATTATTATTTTCTGAGGCTATTTTCGTATAAAAACATGGGATTGTGACACTTCCATTTCTGCCATGTAAACATGCTAGGACAGAGTGTTAGTTACAAATAACTTTTCTAAATTACTTCTGGCCCTGTTCACACTGAGATCAGCTCTCCCTTTATGGCAGAGTGGTAGTGGCTATTGCGTTTTCATCCTTGTATTGACAAAGCCTTTTCTCAGCCCAGGCAGCATTCATACGAAGGTTTTCTCTTTCACCTGTTACTCTTACAGGTTCAATCCTGGCCCATATACAAAAGCGAAAGCACTTCAATGAACGAGAAGCTAGCAAAGTGGTGAGAGATATTGCCTCTGCTCTGGATTTTCTTCATACAAAAGGTAAGAGAAGGCTGTCTCCATCTTTACTAGTTGATACTGTACACTTAGGTTATGGAGCACATTTTATCTGTAAGTAGTCAGCCTTTGCTAGCATTTCTATTTACAGCAATGCCAGATGACTTACACGGTTTTCCTCTATAATTTTATTTTCATAACATGGTAGTTTAAGTAATCAGCTGTGTTAAGATGGTATAGCCTTTTGAAGAAGAAAAGTTAAATCAGCATCCAGGGAGAATTAACATTAGGGTTGAATCTGTTTGCTTGTTCTTGTTACTTAAGCCACCATGTAAAGGTTACTCAAAAGGGAGCTAATATTCTTTTTAATTTCTGCCTCTTTCAGGTCTACAGAAATGCTTTTCTGTGTTTACCCAGAATTTCTGCTGGTTACAAGACCTCTTTGTAGTAGCTTTTGATCTCTACATTTAGACCCCCACTGTTGGGTTGAGAGACCTACAAGTGAACCATAGTCCTTGTTTGAAGCTGTCCTCATTTCATTAGGGATTTGCTCAGATTTAAAAGCAGTTCTGTTTGTAGAGGTTTCTTTTACGTTAAAATGTTTTTCTGCTGCTTTTTCTACTGGGGAATAGAATACATAGAATATACAAAATACCTGTACGCATTATGGTCATCCCAGAGTATATGTTCATGTTGAATGTTATAGATACCTTTAAAATTTTTCCTATGTCATGATTGTCTGGCCTTGCATAGATCAAGCAGTTTCAGTTAATGTTAGAGTGATTACCTCTGAATACAATGGCATGTAATTGGAGGCTATGTTTATTGGTTATTTATTTTGATAAATTTTTCTCTCCATTTACTTTGCCATTCTGATTAGCCAGGTAGATCTCAGCAGATCAACATTTGCTGTCTAAGTTGTTTAGTACTGGCCCCAGTTCAATAAATGTTTATTTGTAGGTTTTACTTGTAAGTCACAGGACTGCTTAGATGCTTGAGTTGGAATCACAGCATTGGTACCTTGATAGGTTGAACCCTTTAAAAAGTGTAGCAATGCATAGGGAATAAAGAAAGTGGTAAACCTGAGGAATATGGATCTTGTCACATGTTGTGACTATGTTATCAGAAGTTAATTTGAATGTGGAAACAAACTTAGTTTGGATTAAAATTTTTGGTAATCTTCATAGCCTGTCTCTGTGATAACTCAACTTTAAACCTGCAGAGAATGTACTCTTTGAATATCCATGTTTAGAGGATTTTGACTTTGAGATATGGGGCAAATAAGGAGCAGGAAACTTGGGCTGAACATGTGGAGAAATACTTATTTGATGTGTTAGGGCTATAGTAGGTTGCTTAACAGCTGAAAGTCTAGAACAGTGTTCAAGGAAGTTTAACATTGACTCAGCTAATATCTTTCTGTAGTTCTCTCAGCTGTAAGTTTTAGTTCCCCTTTCCCCAAACAAGAGGGGAGTGATTCATTAAAATGGCTTTAGAGCAGCAATCCACTTTCTTTCTTGTTGTTTGCTGTGAATTGGTACAGTGGGGACATGGCTTGCAGAATCAGCCACAACAACATCCCCTTTCATTTTATTGTTCTCTTTATGATTCTTCTGTGTGACATTAAAATAATTAGTAAGTAGCATAAAGGACACTAAAATAAACAGGAAATTAAAGCAGTTTTATTGCACAGCTTAATGGTGAAGTGCTATAGCTAGATGCTTTAAAAAAATTTGAATGAGGACAGCTAATTCTTTTGCCAGGAGTAGTTTAAAACTCAGCTGGATGATAATACTGCCTTACACCCACTGGGGATATGTGTGCTTTATTGCTAATAATCCACCGGAGGAGTGTTTAAAGGCAGTTGTTTTCTTTTCTCAGCACTGTGTGCAACTGCAAAATAAAATGTTATATAATCAGACATTTGAATTCAAACTATAATACAAAAAAGTGCCGTTGGCTTTCACATTGCAAGCCAAGCCAACTGTTGGGAGTTTTGTCAGCCTTGTTGTAAATGTCAGCACGGGCCATCTTCATTTGTCATGTTTCCCATCTTCCATGCATAAGCAATGTGAACTGCATCATTATGAAAGGTCTGATTCCTTTAGATCAGTGCTATGCTATTAATGTTATGTTTTAAGTCATGTCTTGTGGAGTGTGCTGAAGAAAAGACATTAGAAACTCCCTTACCTAGAATTTGGTGCAATATTTTCTTCTCATACTCTGAAGTAGTATTAAGTGTGCTTGGAGCGTAATTTTTTTTTTTTTAAGCAAAGCTAAAGTGCAGTTAAGTTACAGCCAAGCTGCTCATTTGATGTGATTTTTTGGTTCTTATTTTCTGCCTTCCCATGAAGTTTGATCATATTAAATGGCGGACTTCCAGAAATTGTGTTTTTAGGCATTTGAAGAACTGCTTTGACAACATAGAACCACCTTTGCATGTGAATTCAGCAAGTAGATAACTTTGCGTTTCCCTGTTGGATTTGCCTATTCTGATAGCAGTTGAATGAATGTAGAAGCCCTTTGGTTGTTCTGCTTTAACCTCTTTTTCTGCATCTCCAACCAAACCATTTACTTTTTATTTTACTTCAGGAATGAGTACGTACCTCACTGTTAAAGGGATGATATTTTCACCTGGGAACACAGGGGGTTTTTTGGGGGGGGCGGGAGGAGAGTGTCTAAGGTATTGACTCTGCTGGTAGGAGTTCAGCAAACCACCAATTGATCCCTCTGGAAAGAAGGACATTACTGTAGTAGAAGGCACAAAAATCTTTTGACTAAACTGTGTACACAAGTAAACTTTCCTACAGGTCAGACATCTTAATAAGCTGGTTTTAATCAACATAATTAATTTGGGCTAAACCAAAAAGTTCCAGTGTTAGCATGTTGTTATTTGCTTGACTGACTCTCATGTACATTTAAGGATGATAAAAGCATAGCAGGATGCAACCATGACTTTTAACAAACACACTTTGAAATTCAATTATTTGCAGTATCATTAAGGGGCGGTTGTGTAGCAAACTCAGGCTTAGAATACTTCCCAGGCCACCTTCTAGTAAAGAGAGGTAATGAGAAATAAAACAGGAGAGTATCTTCTCTAATGAACATTTGTACTCTTGTTTAGGTATTGCTCACAGGGACCTGAAGCCTGAAAACATCCTGTGTGAATCTCCAGAAAAGGTGCTACTCCAGTCTCTTAACCTTCTGAAGTGTGTTTTTTAACTTGGTTTCCAAAGACAGCCCTCACGCTCTGTCTTTCTCTTCTTGAAGACTTTTGAACCCAGTAGTGATCTTCAACTAACCTTAATAGAACTGAAGCCCAAAAGAGACTAAATTCTTCTATGAGCTGTAAAAACGTGAACATCTGGCTAGGAGATAAAAAGCCAACTGTTCTTAGAGAGGGCATGGCAATTACAGCTTAGCATCCCCTCTGTTCTGAGGCAGATGGACAAGCAACATTTACCAGGCCAGCTGGTCATGTTACGTATAGTTCTCAAACTGCCCCAGTGTGCACTGGCCCTTGCCTAGCCGAATAAAAACATTAATGTAATATGGTCAGATGCAGGGGACGTGGGAGGAACAGGGACAGAGGAGGCAAATCCAAGGAGTGGAATATACCTGTAAGAGACCGGGTTTCACTAGTCCTCCTGCTAGAACAACTTGGTTTTTGTTCTGGAGTTTTCCATGTGGCATGTGTATATTGCATTAGTCCCAGTCTTCTGGACCTCTTACTGCTTTGTCCTTGTTTTTAGGTATCACCAGTAAAAATATGTGACTTTGATCTTGGTAGTGGGGTGAAGCTGAACAGTGCGTGTACTCCAATAACTACTCCTGAATTAACAACGCCGGTAAGAGACCTGCTGTGACTTCATGCTTTTTCTCTTCTACCATGAAACAATTTTTCTTATCTCTAGGGGGGAGCTTCCAAAGGGTTTACTGCAACTACACCTAGTGGTGGACAGTTCATTTAAAGTGGGTGTATGTGTGGTAAATACTGTCTTGGTTTCGCAGTCATAGAACAAATACACAAAAGCACAGGAGCTCATCGATTTAATTCTCCTGTTGGCCAGAAAGTAATGCATTGATCCTGTTTGTCTCTTACGCCATCAAAGGAGGAGGCTTTTCATGGAGGTTTTTTATGTGCTTATGGACTGAATTTGAACCTTAGTTTTGTGTTCATTTCCCCATATTTGGGTTCTGTAGGTAAGACCCATGAACTAAGGGCAATACAAGCTCTGTAATCAGTGTGTGGCTCTATAATATGCATTAGTTTGAAACACTACAGTGCTATGCTTTTGACATTACTGTGGAAAAAAAAATCCGACAGTTTTGCAGGAGTCTGTTACAGAAATCACCTCCCATGATATACTTGTATACTTTCTGAAAAGCCTGATAACTAATGGATAAGATTTGAAACCCTGAAATATATCGATTAATATTTTGACCCTGTATAAAGGATCATAAATTCATATGGAACAGCTTATGATTCTTCCAAAGAACAGTAGGAACTCTTTTGCCTTCTATTAGATCTCTGTAGTCCTTACACCTGAAATGTGTTCATTTTTCCCCCTGTGCAGTATGCTTACAACGTGTTTCAAAGCTCTTGGCAATTCCATTTAACCTTTCAGGGATGTGGCAGTTGTGATTTGGCTTAACAAAATGAGACCTGCAGCGAAAGCAGTAAACTTCAGTAGTCCCTGCTGCCCTATTCTGCTTTTAGACCAAGCTGCCTACTGTAAAGAACGGTAAAAAAACTTGAGTTATGTTTTGATTTGATCCTCCCTTTGAAAACTTACTTGAGTTTGGTTTCCTAGTGTGGGTCTGCAGAATACATGGCGCCTGAAGTGGTTGAAGTCTTCACAGAGGAGGCCACATTCTATGATAAGCGGTGTGATCTCTGGAGCCTGGGAGTGATTCTGTACATCATGCTCAGTGGTTACCCCCCATTTGTGGGCAACTGTGGCACAGACTGTGGATGGGACAGAGGAGAAGTCTGCAGAGTTTGCCAGGTGAATTCACTTATCCTGGGCATATGTGGGAGAGTGTAGTTTGCCCTGTGAACTTAGGGCGTAAGACTTGCCATAATGCCAGCAGTGAAGAGGTGTGTCTGTAACCCAAGCAGTTATCTGGGAGGATAAGCTGTCACTGAGAAGTGAGGGTGGTAATGTAAAAGTTGAGTGATGATATCCCTTTCTTAAAGTAAGGTTTGGCAACTACCTCTTTCTTCTCCTGATGTGAGATCTCAGAGCTTCTCCTCGTTCTCTCCCCCACCCCCCGGTCCTCCTGTATTCTATAATTCTTGATCTGGTTTATGGTAGTTGCCGCAATTCCTCAGATAAAAGTTGAGCCCCAGGAGAGTCTCCATGCAGGGCCTGAATTTATTCTTTCTAAAAACTGAGTACATGGGCGGCACTGTTACTGGGGGGAGAGAGAGGTGCTGTCAGCAGACAATGTAACACGACCGTTGTAGGATGCACTGATTCACTCTGTGGAGCTGCCTGTCACTCTCCATTGACTCCATAAGGAGACTGGATGGTTTTTGTTGTTACCCACCACATTAGGTGGATAAAATTGAGTAAGAAGAATCCCACCTGAGAAGTCTTCTAGTTGCACTCTAGCTGCTATTTAAATTAAAGAATTTTTCCTTTACTAGAACAAGCTTTTTGAGAGCATTCAGGAAGGCAAGTATGAATTTCCTGACAAGGACTGGTCACATATATCCTCTGAGGCCAAAGATCTCATCTCAAAGTTGCTGGTTCGTGATGCCAAAGAACGACTTAGTGCTGCTCAAGTTTTGCAACATTCATGGGTTCAAGGAGTATGTATCCCCCTTTATATTTTTTTAAGGGTTATTCTTCTTCCAAAGTGATAAACAAGCTGTTCCCTGTCTCTAAACTTTTAATAGAGACATTGCATGTTTTAGTGCTCTTATCTTGATTAATTAAGCAATATACAGTGGCTTTATTAATTCTGGAGCTCTGTGTGGTAAATATTTGGACGAATCTGTCAAACTTTAAGTGTTTTTTTAATTATTGCTTTATGCATTTTAAATGGCTTTCTTGTGAATACCAAGCACTGCAGTACACGAATTATTATGTTACTCTTTAATACAGTAATGCAGAATGCTGGTAGATAAGGTTTTAAAAGAACAACAGTGTCCTCTTTTGCTTTAGTTCCCAGTTCAGGAAAGAAGGAATAGACCCTCTGGAGAGCTTCCAAAGCTTTAGTCTTATACGGGCAAACTGTGGTATCTTCTTGTGAGGGGAGACAGATTATGAAATGTGATTTGTAAACCAACAGCGATCTGTAAACTCACAGTGAATTTGTTTATATGCAATATCCGTTAGTTGTAAAGATCGGGGGGAGTTGCCTGTTTTTTTTATCGCTCTCTCTTGGGAAAGCTTGGTTCCCAGCTGCTAATATGTAACTCACTTTTCTTAACTGCTTCTTCTAGCAGGCTCCTGAACGGGGATTACCTACCCCTCAAGTTCTTCAAAGGTAATATTTCTTTTTTTTTTTTTTTTAAATGTCTGTAAACTTGGCCAAGAATCATTACTGAAAGAATGGGGAGAGATAGGAGGTGACAGATTGGGGGGTAAGATTGGTTGAGAGTGGAACTTAATGTGCAGCACTGATTTTGTTAACCACATCCGAAATATTAAAGCTCTGATTTTTCTTTATGATCTAATCTTGTTTGTTTGTGAGAAAGGCATTGGAGAGGATTCCTGCAGTGCAGTGCTAATCTTAGACAGGGAATAATGATGGTTTTGGTAGTTTGCTGCCCAGAAGGGGAAAAAAGTCATAAAGGCATGTGTTATCCAAAGAGACTAGATTCTGATGGGTGAAGAATCATCATATACCCAGACTTGGATCTGACTTCCACTGTAGTTGGTGGTAATCACAGTATCAATTTAACTGTGAGCAGGGCAAGCCTCATTTAAAGTGATTTGATGGCAGATTCTGAATGCCAGAGAGCCTGAGTCTCACATGTCTGTTTCTGTTTCCATATCTGCCACTGGCGATTCCAGGTGGTTCTTCCCATCAGAAATGCATTTCCTTAAGCCACATATGCAATTATAGTGGGACTGCAGTTCTCTGAAGAAATACAACAGTATTGCCCCATATGCCCATCCTTTTTTGACATGTAGAAATTAAGCATGGCATCTCAGGTGGTTTCCTGTGTTTACATTGGAAGTCCTTGGCAGAATGAGGACTGGAACTGTGGCTGTTTCCAAAATCCCAGAGAGTTTTTGTTACGTATTGCTGGTCCTCGCAATGAGGAGAGATGCACATATTAACTGGTCATTTTGCCTGATGTGTTGATGTTTTGATAGGAGAAATAAAACTGCCTGGAAATAGGTATTCTGCTGTGAGGGTAACCAGGTAAAGTGACTCTGTGTGTGTGTTGTAACTGCTTTCTCCTTTTTCCTTGAAAGGAACAGTAGCACAAAAGACCTGACGCTTTTTGCTGCTGAGGCTATAGCCCTTAACCGCCAGTTGTCTCAGCACGAGAATGAACTCGGCGCAGAGCAGGAGAACGTTGCCCATGCTGTGTGCTCCATGAAGCTTTCTCCTCCGTCCAAGTCCCGCCTCGCCAAGCGCAGAGCAATGACGCATGCCACCAAAAACAGTGACTTTCAGCCAGTTCCCCATAAAGCCTTTTAAAGTTCTTTCCTGCTATGGATGGGCAAGATCAGCCTGTGTTCTTATTTGGATTTTCAGCACTGATAAAAGCTTCTCTGCTTCTGACACTTTGATTGGAAGCTTGCTCTTGTGATGTGACTTGTAACTTTAAGGGGACAGCTTTTTATGGGAGTGTTTTTTTGCCTGTCAGATTTGGTGCATTAAAGGTAATTTAACTGATCTTTTTAAATTGGAGAAGATGGGTTTGCTGCTGTATTATCTGAGGTGATAAATCACTAAGCTTTCCTTATTTTCTTCTTAGAAGAGCATGCTTTAAAATGGGAACTTGAAAACATCAGAAAAAAAACCCACTTTCTTGCTTTGCCCAGCAGAGCATCACGTCTCTCCCTGCCTATGGCTGATCTCCTTGATGGCACATCTTGCAAGGTGCTGCTGCTAGTGTCAGCAGCAAGGACTGTTTTCAACCAGCAGTGTCCTTCTCTCTTTCTGCAGACTCAGGAAATGAAGATGATGACTGGGTGGATCTCTGTCTCCATTACCTTCATTGGGCTTAAATTGTGTGAGGATGGTACTGTAAAGGTGCAAGGATCGTTCAGCGTTGTAGAGATGAAGAGGACAGGGTTGCTTTTTTTTATCATGTTGATGGTTTGTGTGTCAGCATGTGGGATGAAAGCTGGGGGTGTGTTATTTCTTTATCCGGCATCTTTTTGTTTTTAACTAAAATGTACTCCATATGATCTTTTTTTTTTGTCCAGTGTGTCCCCTTCTCTGGCAGTTACATTCTTAAGTCTGATAACCACAGTATAACAGACTGTTCATATAACAGTTTATATTTAGTGTCTGCGTTTTTTTTCTATATTAATGCTATCCTCAGTTATATCTTCCTTTCTGTAAACTCATTGCTCCAAGTCCTTTTGTGTGTGTTACCTGGAGTTCTTCATGTGAATGGACAGGCGTCAGTGAATTTTGGTGTGTCAATAATTTAGGATTATCAAATGCAGAGGTACATCTGTGCAAAAATGGTGCTGCAGCTGTTGCATTCTGCCTCCTGCAGTCATCTCAGGCTGGGTGCCTAGATTTTCACTTCCAATTTTAGTACTGTGGTGCACCAGGGGTCAGGAGTAATTTGAAAGGGTCCTGTTTGAAAATCTGAAGATTTTGCGTGACCAAGGTGAGGTGTCCATGGAGAAGGACATGGATATTGAGCACTTTCTGAAATGTAAGCTGTGAAAATTGGGCCGCTAAGATGCCCGACATGATGCACCTTAAACTTGCCAGCCATTTCTGAAAACCTTTGCCAGGGCATTATGTGCAGGGTGGAGAGGGGGAGGAGGAGGCCCCCAGGTGTCAACACAAAACCCTCCCAAGCAGAATGCAAAGGAATAAAGTAGCAGATTCAACAGGCGCTTGGAAATTGAAAGGTCAAAGCTGAATGTCTTTGCATGGCCTATTCAGAGTGGTTTTACATTATCTTTTAGCAGTGTGCATACAGCTATTTTTATACAACATGCTGTATTTTGTGACTAATATTAAAGTTGTTATTTAAAAGATTTTATACATTGTGCCAGTGGACGGATTATGAAATGTATTTTGCTTTGTTTTTATTAAAATGCTTTAAGTTATGGATTTAACAAATTTGGCAGTTATGTGTATTTTTTTTTCTTGATTTTTGGTGACATAAAAAATAGAGAATTACTTACTTCCTTACTTCTCTGTGTGACATTGGATTTAAGACAATTTAAATCTCTGAAGACTAAGCATACCTCCCCCTTCTATGGCTGTATTGCTTTATCAGACTCTGGAACCTCCTGTGATCTCAGCTTTCTTGAGGTAAAATGAGGATATGACTGCACAGAGAGGGCTGGAAGGGATCCTGTGATCCTTTTGACCTTCATAAGAGATCAGATAACTGAGGGCCAGTGAGTTCGGGAAATTATCTGCAATGTTACATTTCATATTCTTCCCTTTAATTTGTGTATGAAGCAAAAATCCTGAAGTTTGGCCAGGAGTGGTGGTGCGACGCAAAATACTCCTCAAGCCTTTCAGACTCCAGAAGTCTAAGCAGCAGCATTAGCATGGAAGTGTGACAAGGGGACATTAACGGTGCTGCTTGCCCAGAGACAACAGCGCCTGGTAGATTTGTTCAAGCATCGGTAAGTGGTCCTTTGCAGTCTTCGCTCTGCACCTGCTGGTTTTCACTGGTGGTAGAAGTAGACCCAGAGAGCAAATTAGTGGAGCAAAGACCAAAGCTGCTGTTCCTGTGGTCTTGGGTGTACTATTGGTCTGGACAGTCAGCCCTTGCCTCTTTCTCTCTCTCTCTCTCTCTCCCCCACCCCCCACCCCAAAACCCAGCATGGAAAGTGAATCCAATGCATCTGTCTTCTGCACAGCAAGGATGAAGCTGGCTTGCTAGCCAGATTTGCTTTCCCTTTACAAAAGAGAGTTTGGGAGGAGAGAGTGAAGTGTCCAAAGAAAACCTTAGTTTGGGGATATTCACGCCATTACCTTCGGCTAGTGGAATTGCTGTCTAGGTGAGCAAGTACTCCTCTGGGCGTGAAGCCTCCTCCTTGCGTGAGGAGAGCCCTTCAGCTGTTGGATGTGTGCAGTGCAAAGGACTTTAAGCGCTGGTGTGTGAAACACTGGAAGTGCCCAGCAGGACTTGCACTGAATGGTTAAGCTTTGCCTGATGGATATGACAAACCCTTCAGCTGGTGGCTCAGGGCCCCACCTGGCTCTTATGGTGCTCTCAGCTGCCTTACGGATGCTGCCAGCTGCTGCCTCTACCTGTGACCTGTATTAGAGCATCCTTGCTCCCCACTGGTACATACTTGCAAACTTATCTGCTCAGGACTTGAAGCTATGATGTTGGGATTTTCACTGAAGGAGCTGAAATCTGGACATGCTTTTCCTGCTTCTGCAAGGCAGTAACCCCCGGCAGAGAGGAAGGCAAGCAGCAGTAGGTGCCAGAGCTGTGTAATGCTAGGAACTGAGAAAACCTTCCCAAACAGGGAAGAGGTGTTGATTCAAGTCAATTGCTCTACTCTCAGTTGTGGTCTAGTTCTGACTGCCTCTTGCAGAGTAATTTTTAAGTTTCTTTGGAGGACTATGGCTAAGAGTTTATAATGGAGTTTGGGTGGGAAAGGTGGTTTTGCTGGAGAGGTGGGATGCAGTGCTCCCCAGTGCCCTGTGAGGCTTGTGCCTGGCATAATCAGATCAGTCCTCCTGTGACAAACACGGTGGGTTTTCATTCCTTTTGCAGTGAAGTCTGCAGAGAGCAGGGATCCCAAACCAGGTGGCAGGCCATTTATTTGTACTCGCCTTCCTTTCAAAGGAAATAATCCTCCTGCCATATTCAGAGCAAGTGCTTTTGTTTGAACTGTGCTTTAAAACTATCTGCTTCTCCTTCCCTCTTCCTCCCGGGCAAGAGAGGTAGCACAGGAGACCTTGTAGCAGTGGTACAAGAGTGATGTTTCCGTGATACAGGTCTTAGGTCTTTCTTTGCCTCAAAATGAGAAGTCAGATTCAGCTGATGGTCCAACAGTCTCTCATCACAGGTGTCTCTTTCCC